ACGATCTCATGATCCTGTTTATGATTCAAATAACAAAGAAATGAGCTTAAAAATATGAATTTATTATGTATTTTAGAACCACTTCTGGTTCGCGTCAAAGAGAACCGAAAATCTGTAGTGTGTCCAGTTATTGATATTATTTCGGATGTGAATTTTGGCTATCTTAAAAGTTTCGAACTACATTGGGGCGCATTCAATTGGCAATTACACTTCAGGTCTTAATTTAGTAAAATTAAATTTTCAGTGTAAAATAATTTAAAATATCTCTTTTTCAGATGGTATCTAATGAGTCTCAGTGAACTAAAGAAAAAAAATGCTGATGTAACTCATCCTTTTCCCTCTCCAGCAATGGCAGGCGGCTTATTCTCGATCAATCGAGAATACTTCTTCGAAATTGGATCGTATGATCGAGCCATGAAGGTTTTTCTACTTTGCCATCAGAAGCGATTTCATTAATGATTTAAAAAATTAACAAAATATTAAATATTTTTTCGATTCAATTTATAGGTATGGGGAGGTGAGAATCTTGAACAGTCATTTCGAATTTGGCAATGTGGTGGAAGTATTGAAATAGCACCGTGTTCGCATGTTGGACATTTATTTCGTAAATCATCACCGTACACTTTTCCTGGTGGAGTCAGTAATGTTAGTTTAAAAATGTGTCAAATCAAAATTCTTCAATCATAATTTGTTCAATTTCTGGTTTTTAGGTGTTAAATGAAAATTTGGCGAGAACTGCGTTGGTTTGGATGGATGATTGGAAGAATTTCTTTTTCAAATACTTTAAAATACCAAAAGAATTGACCGAATCGTTGGATGTAAGTGATCGTAAATTGCTTCGCAAAAAACTTCAATGTAAATCATTTGCATGGTATCTGAATAATGTGTGGCCTGATAATTTTTTCCCAAACTCCAATCGATTTTTTGGGAAAATTTTATTTATTCGTGAAGATTTAGAATTGTTTAAAAATTATCTGGATATCATCAGTGACGCTGATACCACAATGTCATCAAATTGGACATATGTAACACATTTTCTAAATTCACGCATACCACAATTTCAAAAGCTTTTAATTCAATTGCCACTATTGTGCTTGAAGCAGCCACAAAATCAAAACTCACCAAAAGCATTACCATATGGAATGGCATGGCTCGGGAATTGTATTGAAAAAACATTCATGGATGAGATGTATGTCGTTCGAGAAGATGGACATGTAAGTTTATTTAATGTACAGTGATCCATTTATATCCAATGCATAAACTCACGCTGAAAATGCGTGAATCAGAAACTCTAACGAATTTCAGTGAATGACTCTCTTCTACATTCTGCAAGCAGATAATGGCTAACGAAGGTATTTGTTTGGATGCACTTGAGACATTTTCAGCCAATAAAAATTCATCATTGGCACGTATCGTGAATTGTGCTGACACGCCGCGACAACTTTGGTCATATGATTTCAAAACTCAGCACATTATTCAGCGAGAATCAAACAATTGTTTAACGGCATCGGTAAATATTAAAAATGCAGCTCGGGAATCATTTGCCGTGCATTGGGGAAATGTCGCATTACAAGACGAAGAAGAAAGTAAATTTAATTTTTTTTTTATGTTCAACACAATAGCTTACGTCCGAGTAATCGGGTACTTTTACCAAAAACACCATATTCAACAAACTTTATGTCACTCTTTCGAATCGAAACTTTCTTTTATAATTTTATTTTCAATTCTATTCCATTTTACTTATTGATTAATTTCCATTTTTTCCATTCTTTTCTTCTGATCATCCTCATACCTAGGTAAATTTAATGTGAGCACCACACCATGTACAGCATCTAAATTACAAAAATGGGCTTTGTTACCATTTGAATGGAAGTGAAAATGATAATTTTTAGTGAAAGTCGTGTTTATTGGCTTCGTAAGCCTTTTACATCTTTATATTTTGTGAAAATCGGAGGATGGCTGGATGCCCAGAAAAAGTCTAAAATAATACTAATATTGAAAATAAAAGACCTAAACAAAATACTCACACGCTTGTCCTTGATGCACATGTCAAATCAACAATGTGATATTTTATAAATTAAGAAAAAAATATATACTCGATCGATCATTATCAAATAGCGTAGTAATTTAAAATGTATCAATACAGACACAACTGAAATAATAGTTTTTTTTATTAAAATATCAATTTATATTTATTTTTCTCTTAAACAAATCAACATTATTTTTAAAAAATCTAAAAGATCATTTTGTTAAAAAAAATACATATTTTTATATAAATTCAGTTTTGAACGATTTATTTAAAAAAAAAACGAACATCTAACTTTTTTAACAATAAAATCAAAATAAGATCCCTTCCGCTGCAAGCAGAATGGTAAATTTCGATAATAATATAATGAAAAAATGTATAAAAAAATGAAAACAAGTGGGTAAAATTTTAATTTATTCATCATATAGAAATACTCTACGAATTTGTCTTAGATATGCATAAATGTATTGTAAATAAAGTTACTAAATCATAAAAAAAGAAATAAACTAAATGAAATTATCTTAATTCATAAAATCGCTGTGTATAGTGGTAACATGCATCATTCGTTTTAACCAAATATTTATATACAATATACTCTTATTGAAGAAGAAAAACTGTACGAATTTTATTGTGTATCAAATTTTCGGCTTAATACGTGCAAATTTATAAACTAATAAAATTTAATACAATGTTTATTTTAAATATAAGAATTTCTATCGATTTTTGAAACCATCAGTTTGTGCTTTTATTTTTCACAACAGAGAAAAAAGTGTCCAGAAGAAGAAAAAGAACAACCATAAACAGACAACAATACTATAGGTTGGGGGTAACGTAAATT